CCTCTGTTTCCCCAGCATCCCTTCCCCTCTGTTTCCCCAGCACCCCTTCTCCTCTGATTCCCCAGAATCCCCTCTTCTGTTTCCCCAGCACCCCTTCCCCTCTGTTTCCCCAGCATCCCTTCCCCTCTGTTTCCCCAGCATCCCATCTCCTCTGTTTCCCCAGCACCCCTTCCCCTCTGTTTCCCCAGCACCCCTTCTCCTCTGTTTCCCCAGCACCCCTTCCCCTCTGTTTCCCCAGCATCCCTTCTCCTCTTTTCCCCAGCATCCCTTCTCTGTTTCCCCAGCATCCCTTCTCTGTTTCCCCAGCATCCCTTCTCTTCTTTTCCCCAGCATCCCTTCTATTTCTCTAGTGCCACATTTCCCTTACGAAGCTTCTCTGGGCCCCATGGGCAGTAGAGATCAGTGCCTGCCAGGTATCTGTGACCTTGCATGAGCAGGAAGAGTCTCGGGTAACAACAGCACTCTGGCAGAGTAGAGCCCCAGGCACAGGGCCTCTAAATGAGCTGCACTTTGTAAAATGTAGCCATCATTGCTCAGAGTCCAAACAGACCTGTCGCTCACATCACGGGCAGTTGCCAGCTTGTGTAGGACTTGAGGACCGATGTGGAATTGAAACACCGTTTATGGCACAGCCATTGGCACCACCATAGCAGGTGCGTACACTCTGCCCTCTGGCACAGTTTCCCTGCAGATGGCCATGGGACTGCCAACAAGGAACATGCTCTCACCTTAAAGATGGATTCAGGGTACCCCAAATTCCATGTCCCAAATTCCATTTTGCGATGTGAGTATCTGTTTCAGGAAGTTTTTACAGTCAAGGAACAATGAAAGTCATAAATCAAGACACTTTTCAAATTGATTGGTGGAGACATGTGACAGGTGGGGTACAGAAAGAGGGGGAAGTCTCTGCCATATCTCAGATGCTAGCTAAGGACATCCTTAGTTCTTTGGGCCAGGGGAATCTAGGGCTCTACTGTACATTCCCTAAAGGATTTTACATGGCAATTTAACGAATTCTGAATCAAACATAGGTGGGTAATGAATGGCTCCTATGGGAACTAAACAGGCCAGGATAGCATGGTACCCAGAACCCAGAAAAGCAGGTCCTTCACTTGTTGAAGCTGCTCTTGTCCCTGAAGCATCCCTTAGCCTTGTCTGTGTACGAGGCAGGAAAGAAAAAGCTGCAGTTCTTTATCTGGCCTGTTGTGTGACTCTGATTTTGAAGGCTCGGGATTGCTACTCACCATATCAATGCTGATATGTCTCCTTGGAGTCCTCCACAGGTGCACTCGGTGTGGGGACCAAGAATGAAGATATTCCAGAGACACCTGTGTGCTGGCAGACCTAAGAGGCTATTCTCAGGCTCCCGTCTTTGATACACCAGTTAAACAGAGAAGTCATGTGAAAAGCAGAGAAAGGAGGTTTATTTAGTATGGCCGAATTGGAAAGAGGAACAAAGAGGTCAGTGACCCCCCACAAAGTCCATCTTTGGGGCCCCGACATTAGTTTTAGGTTTTAATAGAGAGCAAGAGGTATCCACAACTAAATAGTCCTGGTCAAGGTGTGGTGCTGCCCATCGTTCTTTCCTGCAGTCTCTCCTGCAAAGTGGCTCTGTAAACAGTAAGGGGACAGACAAGGCTCCACACTGTCACTCTTAACAGCCTGAGGAGTTCTCATCCTCTAGGGACCTCGATTCAGGCCAGTTCAGGATTTGTGGCTTTGATGCAGAAAAGAATTTCAGACTAGCTGGTTTATGAAGCAGAGCTGGAGTTGTTTTTTTTTTTTAATCCTTTGAGATTATAAAATAATTATATAATTCTCCTTCTTCTCTCCTCCCTCCAATTCCCCCCTCTCATAAACTCCCCACTTTCTTTAAAATTCATGGCCTCTTTTTTTTAAATTGTTGTTACATATATATGCATATATATTTAAATACATAAACACAATCTGCTAAATACATATAATGTTACTTGTATGTGTATGGAGTTGGTCGTTTGATATTAAACTTTTGGAGTTGGTCGTTTGATATTAAATAATTGATTGGTGTTTTCTCCCGGGGGAAGACTATTCCTCCTGTTCTTAGCTGCCTGTAGGGTTGAGGCCTCCTGGGCTTTCCCCTGTCCATTACTGTTTGTGCTCAGCTCATATTTGTTCAGTCATGTTGCTGAGACTTTAGGAGTGTAGCTTCTGACATAACCAAGAGACACAATCTCCCATCAAACTCCCTGTCCCTCTGGCTCTTACCATATTTCCACTCCATCTTCTGCAATGATCCCTGAGCCTTACACCACCTAAGAGCTATCTTGTTGATGTATCGGTTGGGACTGGGGGTGCTCCACAACTCTGCGTTTTCATTAGTCGTGTTTCTCTATAATGGTCTTGACCTGAGAGGTTTCCTTGATAGAGGATGATGACTACACTTAGCTGTGGGTACAAAGACAAACGTTTAGAATGTAGTTAGGGGTTAGGTTGGGTTAGTAAAGCAGCGGATTCTCCCCCAAGATCCATGACCTCACCAGCCCTTGGCATCTAGCTGTTTCCAGGATCAGGCATAATTTCCCTCTTTGTTGAACAGATCATAAACCCAAGTAGAGAGCCGTTGGTTACTGCCGAGGTGTGCATGCCACCACTGTGCCCTTAGGGTCATCATGCCCTGCTGGTCGTTGCTGTGGTTCATAACATCAGAGCTGGGCAGGACTGTGGGCTCTTCCCTCCTCTGGAAGCTTGCAGAGGGCCTTCTGGTACCCTGAAAAGCTGGAGATTTTATTAAGGGTATTTTAACACAGATTTTCAGTGTGAGGGTTAGGAGAAAGACAGGCACTCAGAAAAGCAGTTAGACATGCCCAAGTATGGGCATGTGCTCCTCAAGGGGGAACTGAAATTAGCATTAACCATATGTACTGTTTTGGTGGCTATCAAGTTACATCTCAAAAGTTGCTGAGAACTTTTTTTCTTTCTTTTGATAATCAAGAGTATAGGATGATCCTGAAGATTTCTTGGATGGAATTATAATCTGACAATGTAAAATCAAGGATTATAGGATTGCATATGGGGTTAAAGACATGTCCTTTTCCTGTACATGGGATTTCTGGGTGAGATTCCTAGAAAATTGTAGGCTTACAGCTAGAAGGGAGAAAGGACCACAGTAGCTGTTAACCATGTTAGAATTTGGGCTTCTTTGCCCAAAGAAAGGCATCAGCCAGACCCCAAGGCAAAGGACTCCTTTTCTTTCTTATGTCCCCATGATTTCCCTTCTTCATTCTGATCTCATTCTGACAAGGTGTTAGAGCTGTGTGAAATCTTTTCCTGGGAGATAAGCTCCCTTTCTGGCTAACACCAAACTCTAAACTTTGCCTTCTCCCAGCACAAGATTTCCCCAGAGAAATACAGATTTCTTGGGGGTCATTATTTTAACAGTCCAATACCCAGGGTGTTAGGGGCATATGTGTGTCTTTAGAATATCCTCGTTCCTGCTTGGACTGTTAGCCTGTGGGAGGCAGACTTTCCTGTGTTGTAAGCTATGATATCTGCGTGTTCAGATTTGAATCTGTCTCTGTCACTTGTTAACAAGGTATGAATGGCCAAGGTGTTAAACCGTATGCCTCACTTGGGACAGGTGGGGGACAAGAGCCCTTGTCCATACGAGTCATTGTCAAGGCCACAAACGTTAGCAACATATGGAAGGAACAACACAAGTACATGTCACATGGCCATATACAAACAGCAGTTCTCCCAAGGAGAGCAGGGTGCAGTGTGCAAAACTTAGCTGTGCAGAGTTGTACAGATGGTATAGTGGCCAGCCGGGAGCCACCATTGCTAAAATGCACTGACTCCCAGGATGGTTCATCTGCATTGCCAACATCACAGAATCCAGAGTCACCATGGAAACACACCTCTAGGTCTATCTATGAGGGCCTCCCCAAACAGCTTTAACAGGGCACCCTGAGTATGGGCAGCACCATCCCATGGGTGGGAGCCCCTGGGTGCATACAAAAGAGAAAGTAGGATGAGCACCAGCATTCCCCTCTCTGCCTCTTGACTACAGATGGAATGTGACCAGCTGCTTCACCCTCTTGCCCCACCTCCCCCGCCGTGATGGACCAATACTTTCAACCTGCGAGCCCGGCTGAGCTTCCTTCCTTAAGTTACTTTTGTTAGGAATTTTGTCACAGCAATGAGAAGAGGAACTAATGCGACTTGTCACTTGAATCCACAAGCTAAGCGATGAAAGCTGGCATCTCTGCCTTCGTCTTGTGTCTGTCTCCTTCACTTTGGCTCAGATTTGACTGGATTCTGCCACCTATTTGTCATGCCTCTTCAAGGTTGAAGGCACAGAGAGAAGTCGTTGTTCTTGAGACAGCTTTCCTCTTGAGACAGCTCGGATTCCAAGAACAGAAGAGTAGATCCATCAGCATCTTTGTGACAAAGGTTCTGAAGCCACCTCTCTGTGGAGAAAGCCTCAGGATAGATCCCTAAGACAAGAACAGTGATCTGGCATGAAGAGGCATGAAGAGGCTTCTCCAGGCTCCAGCTCTGGAGAAGAATCACCCTCAGAGGATGACAGAGATGAGCACTCAACTTTGCAGGACTATGGCTGAGATACTGATGGGTAGGACCACACTTTGTCCAGGATGATTTATTACTCATACTCGTCTCTTGCTCCAGTTCTTTCTATGTTTAAACCTAAGCTTGTGTCTGTACCCCAAAGATAAACTTAGAGTCTCTGGGTGCCTTCATCTGTTCTTCCCAGCTGGCCCCACTGACTGATTCTCCGCTCTCTGGTTTTCATCATTACTTCCTTTGTAAACTAGTGTATAGAAGTGGCTAAGCCTGGTTTGTTGGAGCGACATAGGCTAAGATTCCTGCCCTAAGATTCCAGTGAAAGCATGGGACAGACACAGAGGAAGATACCATTCTCTGCATTCACCCAGAGGCCAGAGACTGTGGCCAACTGTCCAGAAGTGACCTGGCCTCCTCCCAGGCCAGCACACCGAGGCTCTGTGGGCTGTAGGTGTTCTCGTGTCCTGGCATAATGATGCTCCTCTTTGCACAAACAGCATGGGCAGGCTGCCTCTTGTATTGGACCATATTCTGTCATGACTCAGTTCCAGCCCCCCTGTAACTTCTAAGGACAGATAGTGGGACAGCCAGAGAGTACCAAAGCTCAGGTGTGTTTAGGGGCTAATGGATTCCCACAGTGGACAGGAGCAGTCCCTGCCAGAGTTTGGGCTGGGAGCTGAGCATCAGAATGTATGAGCAATTTTGATAAGCAAATTCCAACTGTTTCCCTTAAGCCTGAAGCTGTCTGGTGACAGAGAAGCTGGGGGTCGGAGGGACATCAGAGTTGTGTCTAGATGTGCAGAGTAGCCCGTTGGCTGAACACGTTATCTGGCATGCAGACACTTCAGCCAGACAGCACTGAAAGGACCCAAATTCTGTGTCGAAGGATGCTGCATGCTTGTTCTTAGCGCTGCGCTTTTCACAACAGAGGTTGGATCAAGCAAGGGAGATAATGGTCCCTCTTGGCAGAAGGCTTCTTTTCCTCATTGAAACAGTGTCTGCAAAGACAGGATAAGGAATGAGCTAGTGCAGGATCCTGAACAGAGTGATAAATGCGTGGCCCTGTGGGACCTCCACTTATCTATTCACAAATACTTATTCATGGAGGCTCCTCAAAAGACTCTGCATCCGTGCTCAGGGTCTTTGGATTCCACTGGCCAGATATTGAGCAGCTGAAAATAGCCTCCAATAGAAGGAGAGTCAGTAACCCAGTAGCTCTGATGGGTCCTGCTCACTCATAGAAGACTCTCCCATGCTGTGGTGACAGTACCTCCGGGAAATGGCTAGGACACACTTCTTTGGGTACAGAATTGCCATTTTGTCCGACTTTGAAATAAATATGTGCACTGAAGGTCGTGCAACCACTATGTCAGAAGCACAGATAAACATGTTTGTGCCATTCCACAGTGTCAGAATTTATTGCATAACGTATCTGCAAGGGTCAGTGCTTTCATTGACAGCAATTTGTCACATGGTCTGGTTTTCCTTGACAATGTGGCAGAGGCAGATGCCGGGGGTTTAGAATTTCAATCAGTCCTGTTTCATGTTGCTGTGATAAAACATCTTGATTAAAAAGCAATTTGGGAGGAAAGGGTTTATTTGCCTTACACATCATTACACCTTATTTCCACATCACAGTCTTCATTGAGGGAAGTCAGGGCAGGAACTCCAGGCAGAGACATGAAGACAGGAACTGAAACAGAGGCCTTGTAGGAAATCTGCGCACTGGTTTGCTTACCTGTGGCTTGCTCAGCCTGGTTTCTCATATAGCCCAAAACCACCTGCCCAGGGAAGGCACTGCCCATGGCAGATATGGGCCCCTCTACACCAATCAGCAATCAAGAAAATGCCACACAGGGATGTCCGCAGGCCAATTCCAGGTACATCAAAGTGTGTATCAACCTGCCAAGAGCTAACAATAATGCAAACTTAATTACTAATATTAACTCTCAGCTCACGTGTTGCATATCTCACAGTAAATACATATGTGTGCGGGGTGACAGAGCGACCACAAAGAGTTCTGAGACTGCAGTTGAGTTAGAGAGGTTTCTGAAGTCCCCAGAACCCGGGAAACCGATGGAAATGCAGATAGGGCCCGTGGGTGAGATAGCTGACCACACCACCTGGAGAAACTGTCCTGGTGCCTTAGAGTCGCATACAGGCTACTGATTGAGCTGTGAAGTTGAATTCTGCTGAGGTGAAAGGTGAGGATGGGTCCCGAGACGAATGAGTAGACAATAGGTCCAGACAGACAAGCCAGAAGCTGTGCAAAGCAGTGGACACACCCCATCGACAGTGGAAGCCCTTGGGACAGCTGGGGATCCTCTGCCTGTTGATCTCCCTACTCACACCCAGGGGGTCAGACGATATGTCCTCGGGGGCACTTGCTATCATAGTACTAGCAGTGCATTTCTTCAGGGGTGCAGGTGCGGGAGTCACACCCTCTTCTTTGTCTGTCGTGCCAAATGCATATTGGGACCCGGTTTTCTTGATGTGGCTTTCATACACCAGTGTGTTCTGACAGTTTCAATTCACCCCCAACAAATGCCTAGGATGATGAGGGGAATACAACTCACGAAAGTTGTCTCTGACCCCCACACGCACTGTGACAAATGTGTTTCAAAATAAAATTAAAGAAAAACCTGGAAAAGAACTTAAGGGAAAGAATTTGTGATTTTTTTGTTTAACAAAAGATTTCCAAGAAAAGTCACCCAATGAATAATTCATAAAAGAAGAAGGTTGTGAACTTGACCACAATGAAAACCTTACACTTGAACACGTTGGCCGCATCACAGGAGTGTTAGCCTCAGTGAAAAAAGCCAACCTTGTTTCATTAATGAGGCTCTAGAAACTGCAAAATAATGGGACTGGAGCGACGTTATTCTGGGCAGAAATGCAGAGGCTGCAGATGTGCCGTGCTAATGTAGGAGTGGTTGTACTACAGGGGACGTTTGTCAAAATCTGTCACGTAAAAGTGGTGAGTCTAAGTGACACCTCAATAAACTGTCTCAATTTAAAAATGGAGGATCCTAAGATCAAGGAAGTTAGGTCAGATGAACACAGTTTCCCAGACTACTCCAAACGGTGGAAGTAAAACTCAGCTCCAGGTTGAATGAGCACAGAGTCAGGACTGGCTTCCTGGGGACATCACATTTGCAGCCTAATCTTCCACAGGCATCATCACGTGGCCTGGGATTGACATACCGGCAGGCCACATTTGCATATTTTGGGCCCTGACCCCAGCTCAGACTTCTGTTTGAAGATGTTGCCACATGATTCTAACACCCACTTCACAACCTTCCAAAAAGGACACCTCAGACATGGGTGGGCGAGGATGCCCCGCCCACTGCACCTTGCCGGGTGCTGAAAATATTTAGTAAAGCAAGATCTCCAGTGTCTTGGTCCATCGTGATTGTCAACTACGGGGGATCAGAATCACTCTGAAAACACACATTTGGGGTGTGTCTATGCAGATGTTTCCAGAAAGGTTGAACTAAAGAGGGGAGGTCCGTGCTAAATGCGGGTGCCACCATCCCGTGGGCTGAGGTGCTAGCCTGAATATAATGGAGAAAAACAGGGAAGTGAATTGGTGACCAGCACTCACCACTTTGCTTCCTAACAGTGGACACAGTGTGACCAATCCCCTGTGGTCCTGCCATCATGCCTTCTCTGCCACAAGAGACTGTGTCTCTACTCAAATTGTGAGCTTGACTAAATCTGTTTTTTTTTCTTTAAGTTGCTTTAGTCAGGTATTTTCTAATAGCAATGAAAAAAGTTACCAATATTCTCAGCCCCTGCTTCCCCACACAACAAAGGCTAACCAGGAGGCAGTCCCAGCAGTCCAGTGTGTTCAGAGCTGTGCTGTGGATGATTGATTGATAAATAAAACACTGATTGGCCAGTAGCCAGGCAGGAAGTATAGGCGGGACAAGGAGAGAGAAGAATTGAGAGAACAGGAGGGTGGGGAGGAGGAGACGCTAGCCTGCCGTCCAGGGAACCTCATGTAAAGGCAGCAGGTAAAGCCACAGAACACGTGGCGACATATAAATTAACAAAAATGGGCTGAGTATAACAGTAAGAGCTAGACAATGGTAGGCCTGAGCTAATGGCTGAGCAGTTTAAATAATATAAGCGTCTGTATGTTTATTTTATAAGTGGGCTATGGGACTGCCAGGACCTGGCGGTACCCGAAGAGAAAAACTCTAGCTATAGAGCTGGTCTCTATGTCTATCTACCATTGGTATTGTCACTCAGTGCTCCCCACTTTCCCACTTCTTGAAGGACTGTGCCCCTGCTCTTAGCACACAGTGGCTGATTCCGCCTTTAGGATATCGATACTTCCGGCTGAGAGTAAAAACTCCCCAGCAGATGGTCACAGGGTGCTTGAAAACATCAAGACTTTGCTTCTCCTACAAACAAAGATGGCTGTTTCATAAAACACACTGCTGTATTCAAAAAACCTTGGTTATTTATTTGTTTTCCTTCTAGCCTACTGCCTGAAGAACATCCCCAGGAAGGGATATTTAATCTGGCCTTTCCCATCATGAGAAGATTCCATATCCATCAACCAGGTAGACCAGGTTCCAACTTGACTCTTTCTTTCTCTCCAGATCTGCTGCTTTCTCAGTGGTTCTTCTCATTCCTTCTCTCTGGACTCCAAGGTGTTCATGATGCTACCAATACCTGCCTAGGTTGCAGAGTGTCTATGTGAACAGTGTGTGCTGGGTGCTGACAGAGCTCAGGAGAGAAGACTCCAGGTGTGGAGACCAGGGATGGTGCTGTGGTGTGAATACTAATGGCCCCCATACACTCATGTGTTTGAATGTTTGGACCATAGGGAATGGCACTATTAGGAGGTTTGATGTTGTTGGAGTAGGTGTGGCCTTGTTGGAGGAAGTTGTGGAGGTGGGCTTTGAGGGCTCATGTGCTCAAGCCATGCCTACTATGACAGTTCCCTTCCTAGTGCTTGTGGATCAAGATGTAGAACTCAGCTACCTCTCCAGCATCATATCTGCCTGCATACTGCCATGCTTCTCGCTATGACAATATGGACTAAACCTCTGAATCTGTAGGCCAGCCCCCAATTAAATGTTTTTCTTTATAAGAGTTGTTGTGGTCGTGGTGTCTTTTTACAGCAATAGAAACCCTAACTAAGATAAGTTGGCAGGTAAGGTTTGTTGTGTCTCTCAAAGTGTGCAGTCCCAGGATCTATGCATAGGTTACCCCTGAATGCTATTTAACATTATGCACTCAATTCTTGAAAAAAATCTCTTAATCCAACCATTTTCTACAGAACTACTTAATTTTCCACCATCAAAATTTACAGAAGAGTTTGTGCACAGACCATTCATATTCAGTATTGTAGGGAATCATCATCGCAAGTGAAGACAGCTGATAGTTACCGGGTGTCTCCC